GCCACCCCACCCACACCCCACGACCCCCCCCACCTACACCCACACCCACACCCACACCCACACCTACACCCACACCCACACACCACACACCACACACCACACACCACACACCACACACCACACACCACACACCACACACCACACACCACACACCACACACCACACACCACACACCACACACCACACACCACACACCACACACCACACCCACACCCACGCACACGCACACGCACACGCACACGCACATGCACACGCACACGCACACGCACACGCAAAAACACGCACACACATACACCCACGCACCCACGCGCGCACGCACCCGCCCGCGCGGGCACGCGCACACCCACGTGCACGCGCACACTCACGCGCACGCGCACGCGCGCGCACCCACGCGCACCCACGCGCACGCACGCGCACCCACGCGCACACACACGCGCGCACGCGCGCGCACGCACACGCGCACGCACACACCCACGGACTCACGCGCACACACGCGCACACACGCGAACGCACGCGCGCGCACGCGCGTGCACGCACGCGCACGCGCGCAGGCACACGCACACGCACGCGCACGTGTGCGCCCGTGCGCGTGCGCGCGCGCGTGCGCGTGCGCGCGCGCAGGCACACGCACGCGCGCAGGCACACGCACACGCACACGCACACGCACACGCACACGCACGCGCACGCGCACGCGCACACGCGCACGCACACGCACACGCAAACGCACCCGCACACGCACACGCACACGCGCGCGCGCGCCCGCGCCCGCGCCCGCGCCCGCGCCCGCGCCCGCGCGCGCGCACGTCCGCGCGCGCGCCTCTTTGGCGACCCTGGCAGCCGAGCGGTATCGTCCAGACGCATTGGTGGCCAGCGCAAGAGGTGGCGTGATGCATAGTGCACGGATTGCTCCGCGGCCCAGCGTCGCGCCAGAACGGTCCCTCCCGCTCTACGGGCCCCTTCATTTTTCACCGACCCTTTCCCCGCCCGCCTCCCCGCCCTCCGGAGGGCCCTCGCGCGGCCGCCGCCAGGCCCCCGCCGGCGCGGAGCGGCCGCCGAAAGCGGGCGAGCTGGCCAGGCACAAGCCACAAGAGCCGCGCCTCCAGCCCGCCACAAGCCCGCGGGGGACAAGGGAAGGAGAGGGGAAGGGGGAAGGCGGGGTGGGGAATGGGGGAAAAAAGGGACAGGAAGGTGGGGGAGGGGAGGGGGGGCGGACGGAGGGGAGGAAGAGGAGAGAAAGCGGGAGTTTTTAGCGAGGATTTAAGTTCTCTTGGCAAGGAGGAGGAGGAGGAGGAGGAGGAGGGGGAGAGAAGGAGGAGGAGGAGGAGGTGGAGGAGGAGCAGGAGGAAGAGAAGGAGGACAAGGAGGAGGAGGAGGAAAAGGAGGAGGGGGAGGCGGCTGATGATGATGATGATGATGATGATGATGATGATGATGATGATGATGATGATGAGGATGAGGATGAGGATGAGGATGAGGATGATGATGATGATGATGATGATGATGCTGATGCTGATGATGATGATGGTGATGATGATGATGAGGATGAGGATGAGGATGAGGATGAGGATGAGGATGAGGATGAGGATGAGGATGATGATGATGATGATTATGCTGATGCTGATGCTGGTGCTGCTGATGATGATGATGATGATGATGATGATGATGATGATGATGATGATGACGATGACGATGACGATGATGCTGATGCTGATGCTGCTGATGATGATGATGATGATGATGATGCTGCTGAGGAAGGGGAGGAGGAGGAGGAGGAAGAGGAGGAGGATGACGAGGAGGAGCAGGAGCAGGAGGAAGAGATGGAGGAGGAGGAGGAGGAAAAGGAGGAGGAGATGGAGGAGGATCAGGAGGAGGAGGAGGAACAGGTGGAGGAGAAGAAAAGGTAATAGTGTCAGTAATACTACGAATTATAATAATAATATTAGTAATAATCATGATACGAATAAGCACAATAATAAGTATACAAATATGGATAATAGACACACTAGTATTATGAAGAAGGGTAATACGACTAACACTACTAATACTACGAAGAAGATGAATACTACGCATGGTACGAACAAATAATCATAGAGCGGGGGAGGAGGCGAGGGAAAAGGGGGAAACAGAGGAGGAGGCGGAGGCGGAGGAGGAGGAGGAGGAGGAGGAGGGCGGAGGAGAAGGAGGATGAGGAGGAGTAGGAGGAGGAGGAGGAGGAGGGGGAGGAGGAGGAGGAGGAGGAGGAGGAGGAGGAGGAGGAGGACGACGAGGAGAAGGAGGAAGAGGAGGGGGATGGCGGAGGATGAGTGCGGCGGAGGATGAGGAGGAAGAGGAATAGGAACAGGAGGAAACGGAGGAGGAGGAGGAGGAGGGGTAGGAAGTCGAGGATGAGGCGGAGGAGGAGGACCAGTGGAAACCCAAGAGCCATCAACGATGTTGCAAGAAACCCTCCCTCCAAGCTCCCTTTTCCTAGGCCCCTACAGCGATTCATTTCCACAGGGAATTGCCTCGCTGGAAGACAATCGTTTGTAGACCTTGAAGCATGCCAAACTTTGTTCTCGGGATTCCAACGCCACGGAACAACCTGACTGTTGCGTCTTGACGATCCTGAATCGTGCCAGAACGCCATTCTTGGGACTTCAACGCCGCGAATCAAGCTAACTGTTGCATCCTCATAACCGTGTGTCCTTCCAAGACACCATTCCTGGTACGGAGGTCATGGGGACCAGTGGAACTCTTGCATTTAAAACATGAATGTGCGCGGCGCTAAAACGAGATCCACATTTTGAAAAGGGGCCGCCCTCAATCCGTGAAACCCTTGCAAAGTTGATGTGCGCGGCGCGAAAGCGAGAGCCACATGTTGAACACCACCCGCCCTCAATCCGTGAATCTCAGCGAATGTGCACTGCGCTAAAGCGAGAGCCGCACATAATGAACCGCCCCCACTCCGTGCAAACGTGCGCAGCGCTTTTGCGAGATCCACATTTTGAAAACCGTTCGCCCTCAATCCGTGAAACTCTTGCAACTTTGTAAAACGAAAGTGCGCGGGTTGCCATACTTCAACTGCAGGGTCATACATGGTGATGAAGCCTCAGGCGAAACGCCCGACCCGCCCAAAAAACAGGCCTCAGGGTGCTCCTCCTCCTCCTCCTCCTCCTCACGTTATTTATAAAGAACAGGAATGGAGATGGAGGAAGAGGAGGAGGAGGAGGAGAAGGAGGAGAGGAGGAGGAGGGAGAAGCGGAGGAGGTGGAGGAGGAGGAGGTGGAGGAGGAGGAGGAGGAGGAATAACAAAAACCCAAGCTCTCCCCCGCCTTCCCCAGGCTCCTGGGGCGCCCCCCCCCAAAAAAAACACTCGGAGGTTATTCGGGGGTGTATCGGGATTTTCCGAGGGTTCCTTGGCCGCCCCAGGGCCCCGATACCGACGCGTGGACGGCCGAAGATGACCTGGCGCTCCTCGTTGGTGGCAGTGGCCAGGGGAACAGAGTGGCGACCCCCGACGAGTACGCATTCGAGTGAGAGCCGACGCCTGGCCTCGTGGCGGTCCTGCTGTGCGTGGGGATGCTCGTCGCTGAGTCCTGCGGACGCGCTCATCTCTCAGCTGGCCTGCAGGACCATGCAGCCGCCCAGCGACCATGTTAAGAGGCGCCCCCGCTGCCGCTGCGGCCGCACGATGGCGGCCTTCGTGACGCCTGCCGGTGCCCCACTGGTGCTAGCGGCGCGTCCAACGTGGCCGCGTCATGTTCCGTTGCCCCTCCTGCGCGCCGGAGTGTGGACCGGCCACTATCTTGAGCCCTGTTCTTCAGATGAGGAACAGGTACCCCTTCAGAAGGCACCATCGGAGCGGTCAGGGGAGGCGGTATCGTAATTTTTTAGTTCGCTCATGTCCACCGATTCGCCGCAGGCCATCATCCGCGTCATGCTGTGCGTCGCCTGCGCGCCGCATGCAGAGCTGGTGTGACGCGCCGTTGCCCCAGCTTGGCGTTTGCCGCTGCCCACCCTGGCGGTCGGGGCCTGGTGCGTGGAGCGGACGAGCTAGGGGCCAGAACATTTCAAATCAGCCAAGCGCCCTTGCAAAGAGAGCGATGATCAGAACAGCAGCAGCGACAGAAACATCACCAACGTGATGCCCATCGCGAGTTCTGGCGCTTCTGGCTTGCAAGCCGACAGAGGGCCCTTGATGCCGGGCTCCATATTCACACAGCGCACATACAGTGGACAGGTCTGGCTGCTTCTGCCCGACTCATGCCAGAGAGCTGGCGTCGGAGAAAGGGCACAACATCATCAATCGTAATGTTGCCTCGAGTACCCCCACCTGCTCATCCAAGAACGATCATTACGCGAGTTATAGTCATCAGGGTCGTGGGGGAGGTTGAGGAGGAAGATGAGGAGGATTATATGGTGGAGGAGGAGGACAAGTGAAACAAGGGGTGTGCAACCCAGTCCAGCCAGAGATGGCATCAAGCTCGAGCAGCCTCAAGCCATGTATTTAGTCGTCTGCTTGTGTTTGGGCTTTGAATTCACTACTCTAGGAGATGGATCTGGCACAGTTTCGGGGCCATTGCTAGTATCGTTACTGTCGTGTCCGAGTTGCGGAGGTGTACGATCTGTTTGGAGGGCTTCGATGGCAAGGAGGCCGACTGCATGCCGCGGACGTGCCGCAAGTGCGGCAACAGTTTCCACCAGGCCCGCGTGCGTTCGGTTTCCGTTCTTTTCCTGCCGCTCCTCCTCCTCCTGCTGATCTTCTTTCTCCTCCTCTTCTATTCCTCCTTGTTCTCTTTTCCCCCTTTTCAATATGTCCAGTCTGATGTCTCTGCCACCTCTAAGCTTAGTGGAGGTCTAGATGTTCTGGAAGAGCATGCTGCGTACCGTGTGCTACTTGAGGAACTCTGTAGACCAATCGAGACCATTATTCTTGTGGTTCGCTGCCTTTCTCTCCTCCTCCTGCCTCCTGGTTTCAGCATCCCTGTAGCCGTCGTTTTCCTCCCTCCTCATTTCCCCCCTGACCTCCTCTCCACATCCTCCCCTCTGCCCATTTCTCCTTACCCTTCTCCTCCTCCCTCCTGCTGCTCCTCCCCCCACCTCCTCCATCTACACCTCCGCCTCCTCCTCCTTTTCCTCCTCCTCCTCCTTTCTCCCTTTCCTTCCTCGTTCAGCCCTGCTCCTACTCCTCGCTCCTCCCCCTTCTCCTCCTCCTCCTTCTCCTCCTCCTCTCTCCTCCTCCCTCCTCCCTCTCCTGCTCCTCCTCCTCCTCCTCCTCCTCCTCCTCCTCCTCCCTCCTCCTCCTCCTCCTCCTCCTCCTCCTCCCTCCTCCTCCTCCTCCTCCTCCTTCTCCTCCTCCTCCTCCTCATCATCATCATCATCAGCAGCATCATCATCATCAGCAGCAGCATCATCAGCAGCATCATCAGCATCATTATCATCAGCAGCATCATCAGCAGCATCATCATCATACCCCCTCCCTGCTCCCGCCTCCTGTGGCTTCCTAGCTGCCTGGCCGCACCAGCACCTGGTGCCTCTGCATGCCCGCGCGCGCCGCCTCCCGCGCGTGCTGCTCCAGGCGTGCCTGTCCGAGTGGAGCCGGAAGGACGCGAGCCGGGCGCTCGCCGGCCGCCGCCGGCCTCCGTCGTTTGTTCAACGATTCGGAGGTTGATAGACCTCCTACCCTGACGCGTCGATTAGCGAGTTGGCCGTTTTCGGTTCGCGAGAGGGCGTCGCGGCCGTCATTTTTGCGGATCCAGGTCCGTCGGTTTCGGTCCCAGGCCGTTTTCACGAAATGGAGGTTTGCTAAAGGGAGGTTTGTCCACCGCCGAAAGATGTGGTCCTGAGCTGAGGGATGGGGTCCTGAGGATTCAAGTAGGCGATCGACTACAGAATTGATTTGCCCGCGAATGGTTTTTGTTTGTTCGTAGTATTTGCGAAAAAAAGGAACGTAACATTATCGCGTACCTGAGATACTCCAATGCCTTTTTCCGTAGATTCTCAGGACATCAATTTTGGGGGACATCAACTCTGTAGTCGATCTTCTACTCGAAGGGTAGGAGGGGATCCAAGGGTGGGTTTACATTGTTTGAGGCACCTCGTCCTGAGGAACCCATCCCTCAGAGCCCCACCTTTGAACCACCAACCTCGGCGGCCTTTGGCGGCCCTCGGCAGCGGCGAGGGTTTCGGCGGCGTGGTCGTCGGCGTCGTCTCAGAGGAGAAGGTAGCGATAATCCCACTACCCTTCCTTCGTTTTCGCCTTTTTGGGCCTTCTGGGATGCCCTCGTCGCCACGGCTGTATTCGTCTCGAAATTCTGGTCAGAACGCAGCCCGGGAGCTGGGGAGAAGCGGTATCGGTGTTTTTTCGGTTCCCTCATTGTCGTCGTTCCCTCGAGAGCTCTGGAGGCCCACGTCGTGGAGAGTCGGCGGCGTCGGGTTTCTGGGCCAGTTGCAGGGCGACGGGGGCTGTGGCTTTCTGTCAGCATCTCGCTTCCCCTCTTGTTTCTCCCCCCTCTCTCCAGCTCGTTTACTCTTGCTTTCCCTCTCTCTCTCTGTCTCTCCCCCCTTTCCCTCGCCGTCGTCGTCCTCCTCATCTTTTTGTCCTAGGCTTCTTTCATCCCTCCTGTTGCCTTCTGTTTCTTCTCCTCTGTGCATCCTCTCCTCCTCGTCCCCTGCTTCTCCTTCCTCTTCTCTCGTCCTCTCCCACCCTCCTGGAGTTGAGATGGGGGAAGGGGGGAGGAGGATCAGGGAGCGTGTTGAAGATGATTGGATGTGAGGAGAAAGGGAGGGAGGGAGGGGAAGGAGGGAGAAGAGATATGATCAGAAGGGACGGAAGACGAGCGCCGAGGAAGGAGGGGAGGATGGCAGATCTGAAGGGCAGACTTGGGGCATTAAGCCGGATAGACCGGAATCACTGGTCCTACCTCTACCGCGTAGAGGGGGCCTGCCGTGGCTCAGGGGCCCATCACCCCGCAGGCGTTTCCGTGGTCGGGTGCTGGCCCTTCTATTTGACGGTTCAATCTGCCATGTGCAGTGGCTCGGCGACCCTCGCACCCGATCATGCCGGGACCCTGCCAACGCTGCTGAGCGTAGCAGGCTCACGCACGCACGCACGCACGCACACGCACACGCGCACACGCACACACACACATTCACACACTCACACACTCACACACTCACACACTCACACACTCACACACTCACACACTCACACACTCACACTCACACTCACACTCACACTCACACTCACACTCTCACACACACACACGCACACTCGCACGCACGCACGCACGCACGCACGCACGCACGCACGCGCGCATACCCACGCACGCATACCCACGCACGCACGAACGCACACACACACATACACACGCAGACACACACAGACACACACACACACACACACCCACACGCACCCACCCACCCACCCACCCGACCACCCAGCCCCCCCCACACACACAAACACACACACACACCCACACGCACACACACCCACACACGCACGCACGCAAGCACGCACGCACGCATGCATGCATGCATGCATGCATGCACGCACGCACGCACTCACACACGCACGCTCGCACGCACACACACACACCACACGCACGCACGCACGCACGCACGCACGCTGGCCCGCCCGCCCGCCCGCCCGCCCACACACACACTCAGTCACACACACACACAGTCACACACAACACCACCCACAAACACAGTCACACACACACGCACGCACGGCACGCACGCACGCACGCACGCAACACGCACACACGCACGCACATACATGCACGCACGCACGCACGCACGCACGCACACACACACACACTCACACACACACACACCGCACACACGCACACACGCACGCAGGCGCGCACACACACCCATACACACACACACACACACACGCACACACGACACCCACGCACGCGCACGCGCACGCGCGCGCACACGCGCACACGCACACGCACACGCCACACACGCACGCACACGCACACGCACACACAGCACACGCACACAACCACGCACACGCACACGCACACGCACACACACACACGCACGCACGCCGCACGCGCACTCACACGCACACACGCACGCACACGCACACCCACACGCACACGCAAGCACGCAAGCACGCAGCAGCAAGCCCCGCACACCCGCCGCACAACCACGCACACACACACACGCACACACGCACACACACCACACACGCACACACGCACACACGCACACACGCGCCACACGCCCACACGCACACACGCGCACAAGCACGCACGCACCCACGCACACACACGGACACACGCCACACGCGCACACGCACACACGCACACAACACACACGCACACACGCACGCACACACCCACACACGCACACGCACACGCACAAGCACACACGCACACGCGCCACACACGCACACACGCACACGGCCCACGCACACGCCACGCACACGCACACGCACACGCACACGCACACACACACGCACACGCACGCACGCACACTCGCGCACGCACGCACGCACGCACACGCACGCACGCACGCACGCACACGCAAACACCACACATACCACAGCCCACACACCGCACACCAAACACCACACACCACCCACCACACACACACACACACGCAACCACACACGCACACACGCACACACACACACACACACGCACTAACGCACACCCGCACACACGCCCTCACGCACACGCCCACACCCACACACGCACACACCACGCACACGCACACACGCACACACGCACACACGCACACGCACACACACAGCACACACAGACACACGCACAGGCGCACACACACACACACACACACACTCTCTCTCTCTCTATATATATATATATATGGTAGGGGGGGCTCCCAAGATCCCCCTTCGAGCTTTTCTTGTTTTTCTTCATCTTCTTTTTCGTCTTGCGTTGTTTCTTATGTTGCTTTGTGGCAGACGCCAAAAAAACAATTTTCCTATTGAAAGCCACTGGTTGTTCAACGTTTCCAATGGACAACTATTGAAAACCATTGGTTTTGTTGTTTTTGTTTGGTTTGGGGGTGGATTCGGCGCTGGGGGAGCGAGGGCGCCGAAAACCAACAAAAACAGGAAAATCAGTCAACACCAAAGGAACAACTGGAAAATCAGAGCACCCAGGCAACAAAATCAACGAAATCAGGGCCCCAAGTGGTTTTGCAATTCTCAACAAAAAGGAATCTTATTGTAATCCTCTTCAACGGAATTCTAATGAAATCCTCACAAAAGGAATCCTGTTGTAATCCTCCACAAAGGGAATCCTATTTTAATCCTCCACAAAATGAATCCTAATGAAATCCTCACAAAAGGAATCTTATTGTAATCCTCCAGAAAGGGAATTCTATTGCAATCCTCCACAATCGGATTCCCTTTGTGGAGGATTACTATAGGATTTCTTTTGTTAGGATTTCATTAGGATTCCTTTTGTGGAGGATTACAAGAGGATTCCCTTTGTGGAGGATTACAATAGGATTCCTTTTGTGAGGATTCCATTCGGATTCCTTTTGTGGAGGATTACACTAGGATTCCCTTTGTGGAGAATTGCAAAACAGTTCGGGGCTCTGATTTCGTTGATTTTGTTGCCTGGGTGTTCTGATTTTCATGTTTTTCCTTTGGTTTTGATTGATTTTAGTGTCTTTGTTGGTTTCTGCTCCCCCGCGCCCCCTCTGGGGGTGAGGTGGGGGCGGCGCTGGGGGAGCGAGGGCGCCGAAAACCAACAAAAACAGGAAAATCAGTCAAAACCAAAGGAAAAACAGGAAAATCAGAGCACCCAGGCAACAAAATCAACGAAACCAGGGCCCCGAATGGTTTTGCAATTCTCAACGAAAAGGAATCTTATTGTAATCCACAAGAAAATCCAAATGAAATCCTCACAAAAGGAATCCTACTGTAATCCTCCACAAAGGGAATCCTTGTGTAATCCTCCACAAAAGGAATCCGAATGAAATCCTCACAAAAGAAATCCTCTAGTAATCCTCCACAAAGGGAATCCGATTGTAATCCGCCACAAAAGGAACCCGAATGAATCCCCACCACAGGAATCCTAGTGTAACCCTCCACCAAAGGAATCCTACTGTAATCATTCACAAAAGGAATCCTGGTGTGTGTGTGGCGCTGATTTCGTTGATTTTGTTGCCTGGGTGCTCAGATTTTCCTGTTTTTCTTTTTGGTTTTGACTGATTTTAGTGTTTTTGTTGGTTTCTGCTCCCCCGCGCCCCCTCTGGGGGTGAGGCGGGGGCGGCGCTGGGGGAGCGAGGGCGCCGAAAACCAACAAAAGCATGAAAATCAGTCAAAACCAAAGGAAAAACAAGAAAATCAGAGCACCCAGGCAACAAATTCACCGAAATCAGGGCCCCGAGTGGTGTTGCAATTGTCAACAAAAAGGAATCTTATTGTAATCCTCCACAAAAGGAATTCGAATGAAATCCTCACAAAAGGAATCCTGCTGTAATCCTCCACAAAGTAAATCCTATGGTAATCTTTCACAAAAAGGAATCCTAATGAAATCCTCACAAAAGGAATCTTATTGTAATCCTCCAGAAAGGGAATTCTATTGTAACCCTCCACAATAGGATTCCCTTTGTGGA